CTTTTGCCCGGCTGCGTTCATAGTCTATTCTGTTTGTTTAACCTCTGTGTTTACTGTTTACCTTGAGTATACACTTGTTAAGCCCGGCGCACACGTGGCGATTTTTATCGACAGTACCGGCGATAAAAATCGACGGTACTGTCAATAAAAATCGCCACGTGTGCGCCGGGCTTAACAAGTGTATACTCAAGGTAAACAGTAAACACAGAGGTTAAACAAACAGAATAGACTATGAACGCAGCCGGGCAAAAGGGTTACAGTACAGTTAGGTACCGGGGTACCGGCGGCTTCGATCCCCTCCCGTACAGCCGCGCACGAAATAGACTAACTCCCCCGCTATTTGTGCAGAACCGATACGTTTACTCTAGTACTGTATTATTCACTCACCCCACAACGACGGGACAATATACGGGGTTCTACTCACCCAACGGCCGCTCTAGGCAGAACGCGGTGGTGCTCTCTCTCTTTCTATCAACCTCTCTGTCTCTTTGTCTCTCTCTACCAAGGTAGATATATAGATCGAGAGATAGACAGCTAGATAAATATAATGGTACAATTCAGGAATTCAAATTCATTCGAATTCACACGGATTCACATATCAGAAGCGAAAACTAGGAGCAACGGGACAGAGAACATTTCATACATATAGGATATCATAGCAATTTAAGTTAGCGTTTTGAATTTATTCTGTGGCAGGGTGTTATTTAAAGACAATTTATTATCATTTATTGAATGTAACTTTTCTCTAAATGGGTAGAAGACTGTGTTGTATGTAAAAGCTGCGGGGTATCCTTACTGCCAGCGCAGTCGATCCTGCGATGGGGATTTCTCCATCAATTTAAATTCTCAATTCAGTCATTTATTTAAAATTTATTTAACGATGGTACATTAGTAAGGAATATATCAACATAATTATAATCTTACACAAGCTCCTCGTTGTAAGTACAATAATCAAATGCTTGGGATTTCCACCAGTCTTCGATCAGTGACTTATTTACTTTTGGCCGTTTTTTGTAACTTCTCTAACAATGTTCATGGAGAAGCTACATCCTTACCCCCTAAGAGGAATCATACGTTCTGACAAAAATCTGTTCTATCTGCGCGCTCGCGCAGTGATTCCGCGTGCCCCGCCTCCGTGGCGTATTGTTGTAACGCAGTACATACGGTGCATAGTTTGTCGCAGAACGCACGGCGCGCATCGTTGTGTAGTAGCACATGGGCGCAACCACTGGGGGGGTCGGGGGGGTCACGACC